CAAGAACAGATGCCCCAATCTGAGCAAGGAGACCGATGAGCTTGCTCACAGTGAGAGTTAAATGATTGGAACCAAGAAGTTTGATTGCTACCATTGCAGCTGTTGAAGTTGCTTCTCCAAAAATAATGGAAAAAACTCTCTGGGCTATTGCAATTTTCTCCAGCTCGGGCTCTTTGATGTCATATAGCTTCTGGTACAGCACTGGCTCAAGCTTTTCCTTCATGTCACTATCAATCTTCTGCACCTGATGCTGAACCTCACTCATCACTTGAATGATAATCTCACAGTTTTCCTTGACTGTACCGCTCTCTCGCATCTCGATGGGGGTAATAGCACAGCCCAGGTGTTCATTCAGCACTCCAACCAGCTCGTTTGTTGCATGGAAATTCGTGGACATACAGTCAAGCAATTCCTGATGCAGATGGATCAGTTCTTGCTTTCTCTTGGGATTATCTGGGTAAAGGAGGTCACTCAATGCCATTCTTCATAAATAGGCTACTTCAAGAGAGAAAAAAAAAATTCTTACTCTGTTTAACACCCATAACCATAGCCCCTAAAGAACAGTGAAATGTGCTTTGTCTCTGCCCCACTGGTTCTTTTCATACTGAGCAGGTCAAATCCCAAGGCACAGATTGGTAAAATAGATGTGGGTCATTGGCAACTGAAGATTGAAATTGGAACTGAACCTTGGAAAATGAAGACGGTAGAAGCTGATCTAGTTTACTAAAAAAATGAAACAATCTCTTCTAATTAGCAAAATTAAAGATGTGGCTTAAAGATTAAAGGGTTGTTCCAGGCACTCTTTTGTATTAGCTTATTTTTTTCCGTTTAGTGGCATCCAATTTTTCAGCAGCCATGATGATTGGTGGATATGGTTTGTGTCACAATAAGGATATTTTATGACAGTATAGCTTTTTCCTTCTAACATTCAAGAGAAAATGTTACTATATAAGCATTCTGTAGCTATACTAAGAAGCTCACCCTTGAGAATTCATAGTGAATAGTAAAATTGTCCATATTAACCCAATCTAATCTATATCCCCTGCACACATCTCTCACTGTATTTCCCCGATATTTATTTCTTCATAAACTGCATGCCAACATAGAGAGTCCAAAGAGACCGAGTTAACAGTGATCATGGAGTTATTCCTCATCACTAAGATTCTGTAATCAAGGCTGTCACTTCCCTTTGGCCTATCACCAGCTGCAAAGTGAAAATGCTTTAGCACGATTTCAGCTTAAATGCAAACATCTTTGCTATGGGGGAAAACTATGAATGAGCAGGATGACTCATTTCTTTATTGGTACTTTTTATATTCTCAGCCTTCTTATTGCAAATGTGGGCCACATTTGTGCAGTGCTTTGCATTTTTCTAAGATAAACCTCTTCTTGCTGTCGGTGCCTCCACTTCACAGTTAGAGCTACAAATAGCTATGTGTAGGGGACTACCCAGATTTTTCTTCTTAAAAAGATGACTTTGTGCCATTTTGGTCCTTTGTAGTTCTTGTACTATCTGTTAGCTACAAATCATCTGACACTGACCCAGCTGTATTTTACTAAACACACCCTCCCCGACAAGGTCACAGTAGAAAACCAGAATGATTTCTACAATCCCCTGCCAAGTTTTAATCTCAGTGTTGAAATACAAGCCAGTCTGAAAAGAGTTTTTTCCCCCCAATATTTTGCACAGCACTGTGTATTTCTTTCAGCCACTTGCCTTGTATCTCTGCCAAGAGAATAAACTCTTTAACACATCTTCTTATATAAGCTGTAGGAAGCAAAATGTAAAAAAAATACATGTACAGTAAAGGTTTGTGATTTTCAGGAAACATTAAGCCATGATAATGCAGACTATGATTTCATCTCAGTCCTGCCTCAGGGATGTTGCTCTCTGACTCAATGTGATACTAAAACCTTTCCACTCCAGTGGTGTTTTGTTGTAAGGTCATTTGTTTTCCCTTATTAGTATAAACTGAGAAGACAAATTGTTTTAGAAGGAATAGCACTTTCTTCAACAAACATTTTACATACTAGACAGGTCTTGAGAAGACTTCTTATAGCTTTCTAGCTTCTTATAGCTGCTCTAGATTTTCTATCTCCTAATGCTAAAATTACTGCTTACTCCTCACATTAACACTTTTTTTTTTTTAATATTTTTATATTTTCCTTCTAGAATTAGGCAGGCCACATATATTTCTGTACTTTGATTTCTCCAGCTCCAGGAAGATTTACCACAGAGACTTTTCTAATTAAACATTTACACTGCCTACCTGATTTGGTCTGAATGCTCCTGTTGAAATGTGTATGGGATAGTAACTTCAGCCTCTTTCCCCTCTGCTCGCCTGGTGTTTTCCAGCAGCATGTGATGAGTTAGGGATACAGAGGCTGGGCTTCAGCTGCGTCCTGTGCCTGCCTGCCTGTCATTAATTCTATTGTGTGCTGTTTACCCAGATTCGTCTCATTTTATTCCTCCTCTCCCTTCCTTCCAATTTTAAGAGATTTCAATTTACTTGTTAGTTCCCAATTGCTAGATCCTCCAAAGGCCTTCTGTTTGTGGAGAGAATGGGTACAGCACAAATCCCTCCTGCCTGCAACAGAGGTGCCGTCACAGACAACTACAGCCATGGCAGAAAGGGGATGGTGTTACTTGCTGTCCTCAGAACATAAAAAGTGTAGCACTTCTAATTCCAATAGATACAAGATTATGTTTTCTTACTGGGATTTATAAATTTCTATTGTTTATAAATATAAATATCAATGCTTACCTATGCCTTGAAATAACAAGTTTTTGCAATGACTGCTTTTGTATGCCCGCAAATTACAGAAGAAAAATTGAATGGTCCCACATAAACAGAAAAATAGATACCACAGACAGTGAAAAAAGGCTTTGTCTGTTTCAGTAAGATAATCTTGTACATATGCCTTCAACCAAGCTAGATATCTTTCATGTTTTTATCCTTAGAAAGGTGGACCTGTAGCCCACAAGGGTTTCATCTATAGATGAAAACTATAGAGGATCCTTCCACTATAGAGGATGGCTGAGTTCTCAGATGAAAATATAAGATGAAGCATAAAATGAGTGCTCTGCAATTGCTAACATGTTTTCACCTGAAAGCTGAGCTGCTGTATTCAACCCAAATGAATTGATCAGGCTGGCAACTGCCTGTGTCACATTCTGGAAACTGATTGCAGGTCTTCAGTGTTTGCAGTGGATGCAAATTCTTTTCTTCTAGAACCCTCATCATTTGAAACATGGCAGAAAAGATATTTGATCAATATGAAGGCAGTTTTGTTCTTGCTTTACTCTGGGTCTTTTAGGAAGGTTAATTACTGTTATTACAGGCCTATTAAATTGGAGGAAAAGACTTGATCTGGAGCATGTCACCCTTCCTTGCTGCAATTTGCCATGTCTTTGATGCCATGAGAGTAGAAGTGGTGTGGAGGCCCAGACTCAGCTCTGAGCAACAGTGAAAGCTAAAATCAGTTTTGCCATTTCACAAAATTTCACACCCCTTTTGCCGTGGGAAAGAAATGGAGGGAAAGGCAGATGGTTGAACTGAGTTCTGAAAAAAAAAATCTTTAGAAGTACATAGTGGGACAGGAAGTTAGAATTTCTTGCACACTTCTGACTACAGATCTCTCCACAGCAATAGCTGATGAAACATGTCTGCTGCAACTAGTCTAGCTTTACAGGGCTCTGGCACAAGCAAAGGCAACATCAGGAGCAGTCTCTGAGCCACACACTGCCCCTGGACTTTATCTCTAGTTGTTCTTGTGAGAACTCGTAGGTGCAAGCAGAAGGACATAACTTTCTTAGCAGTCAAAATGCTATCATGATGGGCACCTAAGCAAGGAGAATGTTTTGTGCTTCCACCTATCAAGAGATGCTTGCATCACCTGGTCTGTGTATTAACTGACTAATATAAATCACTTTTAAGGGAACTGTAGCCCGAAAAAAAGTGGCATTACTCAGTCTTCAATTGCTTTGTCCCTTGAATGTAGATGCCATGCGTTTGACTTTGCTGTGTCTATTTCCCCCTCCCAAAAACATTAGGTTAATTCTGTGTAGACCCACCAGTATATACAAATTGAAGGATTATAGCTCTGAGGATGATGGAAAGTAGTTTTCTGACTGGGATTTATACAAGTTTACCAATTAGGACTTACACAAATTTACCAAAAACCACCAAAACGTAAGAATCATTAATTTACAGCACTTGCCTTACTTTGAAGACTGCAGGTCAAAGTCATACTTCCTGCAGCCATCAGAGTATCCATTCTTATAGTTGTTTATACCATATTTTGCTGGCTGCTTGCCAAGATCCCAGAAAACACTGTCAATAAACTTTTCTATGTTTTGTTCCAACTAATATCTTGGAGAAGAATGGGTCAGGTGAGTTAGCAGTTTGGATAATTGATTTCAGAAATGTAACAATCTAGTCAAAAATATATTCACCTTTATTCCTCTGTAATTCTCCTGTAATAATGCCTTTCTGGATCTCCTCTGTTTGCTTTTCGGAGTCAGACACCACTCCAGTACTGTTAGCCCACCTTGGTTTTAAGAGTGGCAAAGAAAGGCTGTTCAGGGTCTGCCAGAATCTGAACAACTTAATGTACTTCTCTGTCTCTTCAACCAGCACAGTAATCCGACTCCTCGATGCGCATCTTGGCACCAACTTTCCCTGCACTCAAAGGAGATATGCACAGCTGCCCAGTTACCCACTTGACTTTACTGCCTTGGTGCCTTCCATATCCCACAGACAGACTCTTTCTCACTAAAAGTAAAGATATCAAGAAATCTGTAAGGAGTCCAAAGTCCCTGTGTGTCTTTTCCTGAATGCCTCAGAATAAAGCTGTCTACAGTTTTATTGTCCGGAGGTTATCCCTGATCTAGTCTTCAGAAAGGCCATAGATAGCTTCCTTCCTAATTGAATGGGTCCAGAGAATGTCTGTTTTGATGAACCAGACTGAATGTTCCAGTCTTGACTGGAGAGTTACATCTGAAAGCAAAGGGAAGATTGAACCTTCTGTAGCAGCAGGAACTCCAGAGGCTTCTTGCTATTCAAGGGCACATGTCTGGATGCAGCCAAAGAATCAGAGACTGTGGGCCAAGCACAGAGAAACTCCAAGCACACCAGGGAGAATGACAGAGGTGAATGCAGTATAACCACTGTTCTCGCTTCTTGAAGCTGAAAGAAAGTAAAGAGAGCAGTCATTTAGACCTCTGTTCACTGCCTAAAGCTTTTTGCTTTTGCTAACACAACCTTTGCCCACAAAGGTCATTTTCTCAACTCTATTATTTTGGCTTTGGAGGCACAAACCCTCATTTCTAAATGATTGTTTTGAGCTCAAATATTGCATTGATACACCACTGTTGTATAAAGCAACAAAAACAATAGTCCTGGGCTGGTGGTAGACTCACAGAAAGGCAGGGATGTGAAACAGCCCCATGAGGTATTCCAGCATAGAGTTCTCTCTATAACCAGGAAACTCAGTGTGTTCTTTGTCAAAGAATTTTCTCCCTTCTGCCTCAGGAGAGAGGTCACTGCTAAAGTGACAGTAGCTTTGTTTACACTTCTCTCAGCTTGCCAGAGATAAGTGTAGAAGTAGTAGCTTGCCAGAGTAGTAGTGGATCAAAGCCTAGAATAGTCCTGAGGCTTGAAGCAGCATTGCAAGACACCAGCATTGATTACTTGGTTCAAGCAAATCTCACCCACTCTTCCAACAAGAATGCTGGGGACCCAAAGGCATGAGTCCTGAAACATCCTTGCAACGAAACATGGGATAAATGGGAGCTGCAAAGAACCCTGAGCCCCACTGTTTATTCATCTTTAGTGTGTTGGGGGGCTGTCCCAGGTTCCACAGCAAACAGGTAAAAGCTGGATCTTGTGGTTCTTGTAGGCAAACCCAGCAGGCAAGGTACAGCTTTGGCCTTGAGTGTGGCCCCATGCAGGTACAGCTGGGGGCTGCCTGGGGCACTGGAGACCAGACTGTTCCCCCTTTGCACAAGAACCTGTATACAATACCTTCCACCAGCTGGCACTGGTACTTGCTGGAGTTCCCCACAGAATGCAGATGCAGCTGGTTGCCCTGCTGGGTCTGAAAGAAGATTTTGACAAGAAATATCTCATAAGGGGGAATGAGGACTTCCTTCTCAGATATGTGATAAGAAAAGCCTTGCATAGCTGCTCCCAGGCAAGTGGTCACAGTGAACAAAGTTTCATTCCCAAACTTCTGGGCTTCACTCCTGAGGCGAGAGGTAGAAGTGAAATGGCCAAATCGCACCCTGCTGCCTAGCTTGGCCTCGATATGTAAGTCCTTTACACCCCTGTGCACCTGGTGGCACTTATGTTCCCCCCTGCTGCTCTGCCATTCCTTCAATATCTGGATAGCAATTGTTAGGTAAAAGTGAAAATATTTAAAACTGAACTTGTGTCTGTAGTGCTCTGGAGAGATTCTTGCTGTAGATGTAGCCTGGTTCAGCTGTGAGTGCAGGGAGGAGTTCATGGTGTAAGCCATGAGGACTATGGCATGACTGGCACGCATTTCCCTCAGGAGACCTACAGGGCTCTTTAGCAAAGCCTCCTGAGCCTTCTTCCAGAGACGAAAGTAGTCCTTGTTATCAGCTATTTCCTTTTGAAAACAGTCTCCTTGCTCCAGTTCTTCCATCATCTCTTCTCTCCACCCCAGGTACTGGTCATCAAAGGAATGCAGAGCCATATCCATCAGGGTGGGAGACATAGCCTGCAACATGAAAGCAAATGAAGACTATCATCAGAAGTGTGAATGTCTTGTGTATCTTTGTGGATGCAAGCCAAATTTTTACCCTTTCCTTGCCTCTTTGTTATTCTTGGCAGAGCAAGCAAGGCAGGTAGCAAATCTTTAGCAAGACCTTCCTGAGCAACCTCAGGTTATTGTCTGTACACAAATCACAGGCAAATATTAGTCAGGATGTCAGAGCTCTTAAATGATATGGATGTGCTGCATTAAAATCTCCAGGAGCATTGGTCAATTTAGACAGGCTGGAAAAGGAAAGGAAAGGTTCCATGAGATCTACTCACAAACACTCCATGAAATAATCTCGCTGCAAACAAGAGCGAAATTCCAACCAAGTAGCTAAAACAAATTAAGACAGGTAAGAAATGTAACAGAGGAACTGAAAGCAGAAAAGTTAATATTGAACCCATAGCTCCGTAAAGAACCTGTTTCAAATAAAAAAAATAAAAAATAAAAAATAAATCTGTGATATAAGCAATTCCATTATTTCAAATAAAGAACAATATTTATCTCTTTTACCAGTATTTGTGAGAAGATCAGCAACAAAAGGCTACCCAGTGTCACCAGCTTCCCAGAGTCCACCCAAGAGACTGAATAGAACATTTTTTTTTTTTAAGGAAAGGTATTTTGCACCTGTTTCTTTCTGTTTTTCTTTGAACTGGAAAATTCTGAAGTTTGTAATTTGCACTCAGGTTTTGGTGGCTGTTCTTCTACCAGAGATCATTTGCCAAATTCTCACTGCAATTCAGAAGTCATTAATCAATCCAAGCAGACAATTTACTGGTAGAAATGTGCCCAAAATCCATAAGGAAATGTCTGGTTGCACCAGCTTCAGCTGTCATGAGTGTCCATCACCTTGACAGTTCTTTTAATTCCAAGGTATTTGGTGTTGCTCTTGCAAAAAAGGAAGAAAACCGTGGCTTGGAGACGTCTAAGGCACTTCTCCTGAGGAAGGATGTATCAGGGTGACCACTCTCTGGTTAAGAGTTTAAAAACCCCTTTTAAAGAAGTCGACTCTGATAAAGCCAACACAGAAATGCAGGGTAGGTTGGGATCCCGTCTGGAAGCAGCGATAACCTAACTCTCCTTCTCCTTATCACCCCCTGGCTTCTACTCATGTGCTGCCAATCCTACTCTCACACCACTGCAGAGTGGCACCTTGTTGGACTGTTTACATTGGGCTCAGGCAAAATGAGGGTGTAGATTCAGATTCTGGGCTGAGACAAACCTTTCTCTAGCAGCTGCTTTCTAGACACCCTTCCAAACCCTGGCAGTGAGTTATTCATCCACAGAGCCCCACGGCCTCTGATAACTCTTCTGTATGGAAAAAGAGCCAAGAACTATCAAGGCTCTGGTTCTGACTACAGAAAAGTGAAGCCCATTTTCCATGGCCTGATAATGATAGGCTGGGTGAGGGGGACACCTCCAGACGTGGAGTGATTCCCTGAGACAGGGGACGTTTGTCAAGCTGCTTGGATCCTGTGGACACAGCATCTGCAAAATATTGCTGAGATGGGGTGGGAGGTGGCATAAAGGTCTCATATTGGGCTCCTTTCAAAGCAGTTGCTGCTGCTGACAATATCTGCAGTCCCTGGTGACATGAGATGATGCCATGAAGTGCCATACTAAGTGATGGATGCAGACTGCCTACTTCTCCAGCCTGGGATTTCTCTGTTATCTTGGGCTGTATTTTGTTTGACTGCTAAAAGTGAGTCCACAGGAGGGCTCACGAATTTATTGAGAGACAACTCTACCTCTCTTTGTGTAGAGATAAAAGAGACCTAAACTGAGACAGGGTCTCATGGGAGCTTGGCAATAATAATAAACACCCCCACTAAAATGTCAGTTCAGCTGCATATATTCCATTTGTAAATGATATCCCTGTTTTTCTCCTCTGACCAGTAAGTGAATGTTTAGTATGAAGGGAACCAGCAGGAGAAGAATTTGCATTTTCAAACACTTCAGAAGCAACTCTGTGAGTTGTAAGCAAAGTTATTGCTAAATACAACAAATGCAGCGGCCGTGAGATGGCAGCAGAGGATTTGTGACGGTGCTTAGCGCTGCACCAACCAAGGGAAAATCGAATTCCTCCGTTTCAGCGGTAAATTTGTAACGTGATCTGAGTGCTCAGATCTCCAAAGGTCTCTAATGACTCAAGCCCACGAAGAGATCTGATGACACAGAGTAGATGACATAATGGAGGCTTCCGGGTGTAACTTTTTTTGCCTGCAAAAAATATTTACTTAAATGGGGAGAGAAAAAATATAAAACTAACAGAAAAATGCAAATACGGACAGGAAACTTTTTGTGCTAGCAAAACCACACAACAACAAAAAACCCCCTATTTTATTAGTACACTGGATGTTAGGATTCTGCTAATCTCTCTAGTATTTTTCCATGCAAAAATTTCCTTGTTTTCAATAAAGCATTCTTAATTTTTACTAGATGTCCTTCAGAGGAGAGTTTTACCGTGAGCAGTGAAGCCCCATTAGTTTATGTCACTAGAGGAACCAGTCACAGGTGTTTGACCAAGACAAGCAGAGATATTAATTAAGTGTCTTCTCCTTGGCCAAGATCAGCATCACCAGTGCAAACCACAGCAGCTTGCCATGCAAGGCTCACACTGGCAGCCATCTCTGCTCACTTATCCCGTGTCCTTACTTCAGCACAAGGCTTTTCAGAGAAATGCTGATCTGAGTAGATGGTGAGTCAGGTAAAGCCTGGCCCTCCTCTTCCCCAGTGTCACAGAGTGCTGAACCTATGCCCTGAATTTTTAATGTCATCATTTCTGATTCACACTGGGCCATGGCAGGGGAAAAGGAGTCCTCATGCACTGAGTTCCTTCTCCTCAGGGCTCACAAAAGCAGGCTGTGTCTTCCAGGCATCCCTTTTACCACAGGTAGAGGTTGTACAGAGGAACAGAAAGAAGCAGCACACCAACTCACGTTACATAAGCAGTATTTATTGCAATTAGCAGTTGGGGATGGTTGCACTAGCTTACATGTAACCAGAGAGATTTGGTCTCTGCAAGTTTCCTGAGCATCAGCAGTCCCTGTCCTTGGAGGTGTGATCTGCCATCCACCTGTCAGGGAAGGAAAGCTGACAGAGTATATTAGTAGTATATTTTATATATATATAATATATATATTTAGCTACCAGTTTTCTTGAATAAACAAAAAACTGCCCCAATTTCAATCCATCCTTGAACTAATATTTTTTTAAATTTCATAATGCTTATAGCTTTTTTTTTTCTTTTTTTATATTTTTTTAGCTGTTTAGATACTTTCAGTTTTCAGCATAAATGCAAAAGCAACAGAGGAGAAGAGGTTATATTTTTTTTCTGTTCTTCTTCTAAAAGGACTCCTTAAACACACCTTTGGGGATTTATTTATTATTACTATACAGGCAAAGTTTATGACAGAGTAATCAGAAGAGTGTACCAGAAGCTGATTGCTATCTATGCAAGAGTATTTGCACACTTCTATCTTTATAAAATTATCCTACTGCAATGCATATTTAATGTGATTATACTACATAAAAATACTGAACTTTCCCACTAATTGGAACAGGTGTTCTTCCTTCTTCATAGTGAGCATTCCAGGACCAGATCCATCACACTGTGACATTCTTCTTCCATAATCTGCCTGTATTTTGCAGAAGAGGGTAGGAGATCTAGAGATGTTTCTAAGGCATGGAGTGGTTATCTTGAAAGTAATCACCATTTTTCACCTATTGTGTGCTGGGGATTCAGGTGTAAGGAAGTAAGACAGAGTCTCTTGGTGAAGCTCAAAATACCACAAAAGATGTCTGAATAGAGACTTTATTGATGAAAGGAAGAAAGTTAATGGAAACTCAACAAGTGGGATAATCCCTGCCTTGGTTCCAGCTGGATAGGGAGACTACAGAAGAAGATGCTGGTCCAGGTGCTTTCCTTCCTTCCTTCCCAACCACAACCTTCCTTCTCCTGTGGGGTTCGGAGTGTTCCAAGCCAAACGAATGGAGAGACCTTCCCATCCTCAGTATCTCCCGAAGAAGCGGTTGTAGGCCAAGGCAAATCCCACTTGGTCAGAGAGATAGTCACAGGGGGGGTAGTTTTCACAGCGCTCATGCATCTGCTCCATTGGACTTTTATAATACTCAAAGTACCTGGAGCAGACAAAGACAGAAATGCCATTCTCCAGTTTCGGCCAATGCAGCTGGCGACCGCTCACATACCTGACACTGACATGAGAGAAATGGTGTGACCCAAAAGAGGGCTGGTCATGCTGACTTAAACATCTGCTTACACAGGGATAGGCTACTTGATCAATGTTGGGAAATACAGGATTGAACCCAGCTTAAATCAATTTGCTCTTGAGGTTTTATCAGCAAAGGATATCACAGAATCTGTAAGGATCTGGGTTTTGTTGGGTTTTTTTTTGTCTTCAATCTCATTCCGCAACTACCCAGGATTGATTGATTGATTGATTGATTTTATTACTTCCTTCTTACCTTTATTTTTGCCCACTAGCCATCATTTTCCTTTAGCTTAAACACTTTTCTCTAATTATCCTCACTTTTGTTGTAGACAGGAGCACTATCCCCGTGTAGTTTTTTTCTTCTGGTTTTTTTACCAGGCTAAGAAAGCCCAAATATTTTAGTCTCAGCTGCACACTTTGGGTGTCATTCTCAGTTCTTCTTCTAAGTTTGGTTAATCTTTCCTGAAGACTGTACACGCCACCACAGAAATCCCAACAGTATCTCATGAATTTTTACTTTATTTCTGTATAGGAAAGAGTAGCTTATATTCCAGGAAATATATGGAGAACATCCTTGCATTGCCTGAAATTTCTCAGATAGCTAGGATTTCACCAAACCTTTGTGTCTACTTTCTGCACAAATAAATGTGTGTTCTACAGCTCCAGAAGGAACAGCCAATCTGACCTATCCTCATTCCTGCAACAAAGCTGTGCTTCCTTTGTGGGAAACCAGAGGAAATGACCAAGGCTCTATGATTCTCATTATTCTAAAAATTGGTTCTGAAGACGCTGTAGGCTGGGGCAGCTTCTAACTTGTATCCCACTGTCTCCATGGCTAGCACAGTTAGTGCTGTCTTTCTCTCTGGGAGGAGTACTAGAGTCCAGCTATGTGCCTTCAAATGGGTTTTAATGAAAAAAAAGAACCATTTTGAACTGAATGTCTCCTACCACCTTTTTCCTTCAATACATGAAGGAAATAACATAGCTGTACAACAGAATAATGCCTTGTCATGCCCTATGACCTTCCCATCCCCTCTTCAGAACAGACCCAGAGTCCAGCTCTCAGCCCAGCTCCTGAGTTGTTACCATTCGTAAGGGCTGGATCTCTTCTTCCTCTTCACAAAGGCATTGGCAACTTCTTTTTTAATCTTGATGCCTGTCAAGAGAGAACACAGCAGGTTGGAGATGCAGTACTGAAGCACACAGACCAGTCTAACCTCTGAAAATTAGAATCTACCTTCTTCACAAGCAAATGATGCCACAAACTCTCCTAATGGTCTGTTCAACTCTCCCCATCCCACTGCCCACTCAAACTTCCCTCCTCACTGCAGCCTTCACATCTTCATGAAGCAAGGTTTTTTTCTGTCATAAACTCAATTTCCTTATCATGCAGCATAATCTCAGTCTACAGCAGATGTGCAGAAGGCATAAAATATGAATAAGAAAAAAATTAGAAGAATGACACCCCCTCTCTCTGGCCTACTTAATTTTAGAATCTTGGCTTCCTTTCTGTGTCTTGACTCAGACTAAAAATGATGTGGGATACCAACCAGAAGACCTTAAAGCACCTCCAGTGAGCCATGAGCAACAGGCAGCACGCAGAAATACCAATGCTCACATGTACAGAGTTCCATGAAAGGTGAAGACTATAAAGTAGCGACAGTAAACATCACCCAGTGAGAAATACACCCAAGATGTGCAAAGATCCCAGCATTAAGGACCTGGAGAACATAAGAGGTGTTTCAGCCATGAGAGCATTTGTCCCTGTTCTCCACTAACACGTCATGTGTGCACCTTTGCTCCTTTGTTTTATTGTTGTGCCAACACTCTGGTGCTGTGAAGGACCCCACAAACACCAGGTACAGCCTCCTCCCAGCCCGAGTCAGGGCTCAGCACGGCACAACCTCGCTCCATGGGATGGTCTCACAGCAGCAGAGGTGCCCAGGTGCCAGCACAGCAGCAACACAGGCAGCTGCACACCAACAGACATTTCAGCATAGAAACTGGAAAATTGTTGCTGTCTCTGGGGGAAAAAGATTTTAAAACCTCTGCCTGTGGGGAGATGGTGGGGTTTGTCCCTTCCTTCATCATCATGCAGTGTCTGACAGTGTTTCTCTTTTGAGGTGGGAGGTATCCTGTCTCTGGCAAACTGAGGTTTAGTCTGGATCAAAATACTAACTACACAGAAACTTCCAGTTAATGAGTTGTCAGAAACTACCACCTTTCCCTGAAAAGTCTTTTCTTTTTTTTTTTCTCTTTCCCGATTTGTGTTTGTATTGGCTCACTGGAAAAACACCAGCTTTCATGCTTCTCAGCAGCAATGTTATCCTTTAAAGTGTGAGAAAGGAGAGACACGAGAGAACAAAAAGGATTTTCCGTACATATTTCTGCCAGGATCAGCTTGCTGCAAAAGCTGTGAACAACCCAAGGTGTAAATCCCAGCATCCCAGGTGACCTGACAGGAGGGACTGCAGCCCTCAGGAGCAGCCAAGGAAACCCCCTCTTTCAGAGGTTTCCTTGTTGCAGGATTTGTCAGGGACATCACAATCCATAGATGTGGGAGCTTCTGCTCTCAGAACAGCCTGGGGATGCAGCAGTCACTCTGGGCAGGTCTCTGAAGCCAGGTCAGAGCAGGGAGACTCCACCAACACAACCCTGTTTCACAGAAGGCAGGTGCATCCAGCTGCTAACACTGCCTCACTCATGCCTTGCCAGGGCATTGCTAAGGGGTTGTGGAGATGCGGCCTCTGGCACCAGCCAGCCCCGAGGGATGCTGGCCTTGCTGGCACAGGGACACTGGCTGCCCACGTGTCACCTGCTCGCCTGCTGCTCTGCATTGCTGCACATGCTCCAGCACCTCAGGGACTGCAGACTTAGAGACAGAAAAGGGAAGAGTTGGAGAGGGACTCAGCACAGTTCTTCTTCAGCCCTCGAACCTGTCAAAGGGAAGAAAGAGGGCAGATGCGGGAGAATGGAGCTGAGCATCAGTCAGTATGATATACTCACTGTCAGCGCTGAGAGATCCGGAGGGTTCTTTGGGATCTGGAAGACAGACAGACAGACAGAAAGGAGTCTGTTTGTGAGTCCTTCTATGCTTGTGGGTCGTCCTCCTCTGTAACTGAATCCCACCATTGACTGGCCAAATCCAGCTCCCCCCAATTACATACAAGGTCTGTTTCTCCCAAAATGGTTTTATTAACACCCAGCATTTAGAGAGAGACTAAATGATAAACCAGTTGAAATATTGAACATATTAAAATGTTCAAATTCTCTGCTGCAAGTCAATATGCAACTGAAGTGGGGGTGAATGGGTATTGACCAGTGGAGGAAAATGCCCAGCAAAAGACAGGGGTCTAGTTCCCAAGCCCTCTCTCATCCGTGACTCTCTCTCCAACAGAGATCTGAAGTTGTGAAATGACTGGTGGTGCATCTCCTCCCCCCCCAAAAGCTCTGTGTCTCTCCCAGTTTGCAGGGAGGCTGACAGCAAGCTGCAGGGTTCAGCAGCACTCTGACAGCCTTCCTGAGAAGATGTCCCCTTACCTTTCTCACAACAGCAGAGTGCTGCCAGGACCAGAGTCACGATCAGCAGTGCCAGCAGACTCCTCATGTCTTCTTTGGCTGCGCTACTCTCCCTAACCTCAGAGCTTTCCTGGAGGTTATTGAAGTTCTCCGGAGCTTGCTTTTGGGCAGCAGTTTATATCCTGTGATTTCTTGGAGAGATCAGGGATCTGGCTTGTGTTCCTGTGTCTGCGCTCCAAAACAAAACCCATCCTTTGGGCCAGGAGATACTTGGTCCTGGCAGTCATTTTGGCATCCATCTCATGACTCAGGGCAATTCCAGAAGATTTTATCTGAGGTTTTAAATGGGGCTGTTGAAGAAAAACAACTGGATTTAAAAAATCATTTTTCTTAGAAACTTCAAAGCCATTCAGTCATGCTGGAAAGCCAGGGGAGAGACCAGCACACACTGAAGTAGAGCAATTCTTTTCACGTGATGGGGGTCTCTCATGTGGAGCTTCTCAAATGAGACTGAACACAATGGTGACTATTTCCTCCACCCCACCTTGACTCATTACCCTGAGAGTAAAGGAACCTGTAAATTAGTTTGCATCAGAGCAAACACAGTAGCTCTTCAGACAGTTTCGCAGTGTCACCAAATCACTTCAGAGAGATGAGATTTTTATACTTTTAGAAACTTTGGAAGTCAGTTTGAGGGAAGATCTTTATATTTTCCTCCTGGAAATCTTCGTAATTCAGAAGTTTTATTTTGGCTTCTCTTGTCTAAAAGTCAAATAAACATTTAGACTCCCAAAGTGTTTTATGCTTCAGGACCTGGGTGGCTGAAGTTAGTTGGTAAGACAAGAGCCTTGTATGGGCTACTACATGTCAATAACCCCACACTCCCCAAACCCACTACCCAAGTTACCAAAGCCACATCCCACAAACAGCATAGGAACCACAGAATCACAGAATAAGCTGAGTTGGAAGGGACCCACGAGTATCATCAAGTCCAGCTCCTGGCCTGGCACAGGACAAATCAAGAGTCACACCCTGTGCCTGGGAGCATTGTCCAGACACTCCCTGAGCTCTGTCAGGCTGGTGCTGTGACCACTGCCCTGGGGAGCCTGTTCAGTGCCCAAATACCCTCTGTGGGTGAAGAACCTTTTCCCCTCCACTGCCCCTTAGGAGGATGTGGTACACTGCAATGAGGTCTCCTCCTGGCTGAACAGAACAAGGGACCAATTCTGGGTAGCTGTTTTGTGGGTTTTTTTAAAATAAAGTGTGCTCATTCTTTCTAGCGGAAACATAATTTTCCTCCACCTCATATCCAGCCTCCTCAGACCCATGTGCAGGGTTACAGAAGCAAAGTTTAGGAGGCTCCCAAGGAAAATCAGAGCCATTAGGGATTTTCTCAATTTTAGAAACACTGTCTTTTATCTTAGAGAATTTTCAGGATTAAAATAAACCCCAACTTTTGTCCCTGTTAACTTTTCTGCAGTCCAGGAAAGCTGAATGTATATAGTAATGATGTCCAGGAAAAGGTCTTGTATATATATATTAATCCAGCAAAAGAGCAACAGTTAAAAAGTAAATAAACATCTAAAAATAATAGGTATTCTAGGAAAGTTATGCTTCCAGATGAATATTTGAAATAATATAAATGTACAATTCTAGTAACCCAAATAGCTTTATTTATCCTCCCATATTTTCCCAAGCTTTCTAACCAGCATGTAGTCTCTTAAATCTGTTTGGTTGTTGTTTACGCTAATGAAATCCCACAGAAATCTCTGGTATTATTCATTATTTATACTGGCTAACTGGGGATTGGAATCACTGGATATTTCTGGACACAGACCCAGACAGCACTAGACCTTGTGCCTTCTGTTGTGGTGGTGCCACAGTGTCAAGTCAAACCCAGACACTGCAGAGCTGTTGATTTTAGCATATGTGAGTTTGCTCCAGTTGGTGATCACAAGATTCACCTACTTGAGAACACAGAGAACCAGTGTGTGAGGATATACCTGGTCTGTACAGGTTTTTTCCTTAAATTATTTCTGTCTCACTTTTATTTCTAGACAAAACTGTCAGGGTGGAGTTTCCTATCAGAAGTGTTTTCAATAAATAAATCACATTTCTTTCCAAAATTCAGTTTCAAAGCTGGCAAAACCTTGAAGCATGTTTTGGAAGAAAATGCATGTTTCTAATGGGCCAGGTAGATTTGGCTCCAGGCTTAATTTCACAGCTTAGTCAACAATTTTATACTTTATACATCACAGACTTTGATTGCATGCCATGAATCTTTCCAACTTCTATAACTTGCAGGTGCCTGTGTAAGCTTGGAAATGTGAATGTTGAAACCATCTGTGTTGAGCTGAGATACATGTTATATCTCCTACACAAATCGCACCAAGGGTTGTCCCAGCTGCTGTGGCTGCTGCCAGGCCCAGAGCAGCATTGAATTCCAGGACATGTCAGCACTGGTGCCTTTTGGCCTGGGGACAGGCCCTGGTGATGGTGAGCAGAATGCAGCCATGCTCACTCCTCAGAGGCTGAGGAAGGTGATCAGTAACTTCTGCACAGGGGCAAGCCACATCTTGATTTCAAACCATTAGTGAACAGTAAAATTAAATTGTTCTACCTGAACAAAGTTTGGCCTGACCCCAAACATTGGATTTCTTTTTTTCTGTTTATTTACCACCAGGAGCCCCTCTCCAGCTTTTATTTCTGCAGCTTTCAAGTGCTACCAGACTAGTTTCAAGTGGAAGGGTTTTGAAAGGGGATTGCAAAAGAAAATACAGGTTAAGTTTGGACCACACGCTCCTTTCTAAAGGAGCACCAAGCATCAGGACCTGATGGTAGCTGGATAAACAAAAAGCAATTTACAGGCTTTTTCTGTCACCTACTCTCACCCTAACTTTGTTTCAAGATTAAATAGGTGCCTTCTGGATTTTGTTTCTCCAACTGAGGAAATATTTGATCCTCAAAAAGTGCATCTGCATTTTGAACACCCCACTGTTTTTAGATGTCTTAGGACTGGGAGCTGACAATGTCCAGTGACCTCTGAAAGAAGCCACTTGTAGAACCTGGAGCAAGAACATTATAGATTCTTCCAAAGCCATATGCTTGAAAGGTAACAGTGGTTTTCCCCATAATCTACAACAGAATGTGTGATAAATTCAGTTCCTTCATGGAAAATTGCATACCCCCGTTCCAAAATACTGTGAGTCATGAGAAGATAGTATCAAACCAGCGATTTATTTCGTAGTAAACACCCACATCCTGAACTCTCTGTGATCTCTGCTACATCAGCTCAGCGCTAATTAACACAGCGTAGGAATCCATGGCTACATGGGAGAGAAGCAGCAGGCAGGATAACATACAGAGATACAAGCAACTGAGTATGTTTCAGAGCCATTGCGATTTTGGGGAGGATACCCTGGACTCCAGGCCCCAGGGTGGGGACAGGTCATCCTTTACTTAGTCCTCCTCCTCCCAAAATAGTGTTTGTAAGCAGCAGCGTAGCCGTGGCGAAAAGCGTACATTTCACAGGGGTAGTAGTCCTCGCAGAGCTCCCTCTGATGCTCCTGGGGCGCCTTACTACGCTCCCTGATCCTGTAAAGGAGAGAAGAGGGGTAAGTGCTGTCATCTAAAATATCTGTCTACAGCCCTTTCCTGTCCAGAAACTCCCCACTGGGATTAAGGATCCAGCAGCGGAGTCTGTCATCCAGCTACAGAGTTCTTTGCACACCAGCTTCTGTGTTTACCACACCTGGGGAGTGACCTGACTACAGCAGGAATGTTTTGCCTCCTCAGGCAACCTTTTATTGAGGGGCTAAGTAAGGTGGCAGGGAGAGAAGAACAGCTCCAGCCTTATCTTGAGGAAGAGTCCTCCTTTTTCAGCCTTCCCTGGCCTGCTCTCTTCAGCTCTTCTGTTCTTTCCCAAAAATATGCATAGAAAAAAGACCTGAATTATTCTGCAAAGCTCCTGAGGAGAAGGTTTGCCTTATGCCTTGCTATGAGTTTATTTCTGTGCTTCAGTCTTTATTTTTACAAGCCTTGAATAAGGCATGAAATTGGTTATGTCTGTATTTTATGAATGAGGCAAGAAGGCCCTCAGATGGCCCTTTGATTTAGAAAAGGTCATGCAAGTTCTGCATGAGATCTAAGGACTAGAATTTGATCTCAAACTGAGCTTTCTTTTTGACCATCCCACACCCATTCTCTCTCCTTCTGTTGGTTCTTCCTTCAGAAAAATTAATCAGTCTTTCTCAGCATGTGACATGTCCCCTAATCAAATGACCCACTCTCTGTTATCTGATTTCTTGCTTTTCCTGGGATTGGGGATTTAAATGGTACATTGCATTAAAAGTGGGACTGAGATTTCTTACAAGTCACCGTGGCTGCCACCCCTGGTACCAGCCTGTGCTTGGCAAGGAAGAATCTCTTCCCACTCTCAACCTCAGCATCCTGAGTCCATGACATACCTCTCCTGAGTGATGGCTCTTAGTCTTGAATCAGCCTGTATGAAGTCACTGGCCCTTCGCCTGTTGAGGAAGGGATCTGAGAAGGCAAAGGGTTATTCAGAATGGCATTTTTTCAATGTCAGATTTCAACAAAAGCTAGTTTCCTCCTTTATAACAGCCTCCTTGTCTGCCCTCCCATGTACAATGAAATCCAGGATCTTTTAACATTCCCTCCTGTCCCCTGGCTGGTTCATGTGCAGGCTTTCTCTTGTTCTGCTCTTATTCAAATCACCCAAGGGAATGCTACTGTGATTTTGCTGCCCCAGCACTCTGAGTGAGTGGAGAGGGCCAAAAGAGGCTGGCACCAGGCTACACAGACCATGGGACATCTGAGCACTCTCAGAAGAGCTACAAAATTGTGCAATTGCTCACAGGAAGGGCCTGAGTAAGTCTCTCTGCATCCAGGATTAGACAGTCATTGAGAAGTCTGTGTGGCAGTTTCGGACTGAGGGACCTGAAAGTCCCTTCTGACTGTTTTGAGAATCATTACAGTCCTATTGCAGAGTTCAGGAGTCTGTGGATGTAATTGATATTGGCTTCTACATGTGCCTTTGTGCTGCTATTTACTTTGTTCTTCTTCCAGATGTCCTAATTTCTTTTTAGTGTCAATTCACCTGTTTTCTAACCTCTCCACGATATTGCTTGTTCCAAAGAGAGACTCTCCACCCTTTTCAT